GAAAGAATCACCTCATAATATAATTTAAAAAATTACTGCAAGCCCTTGAGGCTTATATATTCAGGTAGTAAAACACAAATTTACACAAGGCATTGTCTTCCGTGAAGCAAAGGCAAAAAAAATTACAAAGCACTGCCATCCAACAAATCTTTCATAAAATGAACCTTGGTATAAAAACTATACCCACAAAGTGATTAAGAGGTAGGTGTAATGGCAGACTCTGCCTTATTTTTCCCATAAAATTACTTTCCGGGCTAGTTTTTCTTTTTAAAATGTAATAGAAGTTAATTGTTAGTTGAATTTCAGTTCCAAATGAAGAGTAATGTCTCTCCCCATCAAACATGTCATACGTCACTCCAGAATAAATGTTTTAAAAACCCTAAAAATATGCCAATTATACACAACATAAGGATCTTCTTTAAATTAGGTTATGCCAATTATAAAAAAACACTACCAACGTATTATAACAGCCAACAAATGAAGAATGAAATCCTATGCTCATTTGAAGTAGATCCAAACCAACTTAGTAGGACTTCCTTTTGAGCAAACAAAAAAAAGGATTAAACTAAAGGGAAAAAATATAGAAAAAGATCTAGATAAAGTAATATATCTATTATGGTGACAAAAGAAAACAAAAGAAATCTTAGTAACCTTTTTTCTAAACAGCATCACAACTGTAAGCCTCAAACATTGAAATGCCTTAGTTTAAGTTACAAGTATTGCTGCAATTAGGAACCACTCTCTTGAATAATCCAGCTAAAGTCCTAAACAAAATCATTCATTTTCAAGAGCACCCTTGCAAACAGTTACTGAATTTATTATGATTTCTTAAATCTAAGGGTAGTTATTTTATACATTAAGTAGTTGCATTTTTATTTATTTTCAGAAAATCCTTTGATCGTGAGTTTAGGATAGATTTAAAGGCAAGCCTGCCTACATCCTTTCTCATTACAGGAAGAAAGGAGATGCTCAAGCAGAATTTTAATAATCATACACAAAGAAATAAAAGTGCAACATTTAAGCATAGAAGATGTATTACGTCCTCAGGTATTGTGTGTATTTATACCAAACAGCAATTCTGCGTTCATATTTTTAATGTAAGTGGGTTAAAAGTAAGATTAACAAACTGTCAAAAACATGTTAAATTATAGTGTCTGATAGTTAGGTTCTGATGGTTGTAAAGCTCTGTTGGTGGCCATCTTGGAGCGAGGGGTTTTGATATAAATGAGAGAAGTGAAGGCAGCAGATGTGGGAGGGGGCTTCACTGCATGAAGGCAATGGGAGAGATCATAATCCCCTGAAGAAGGGAAGGGAACACTCCTTAGTATAGCAAGTGTTTTAAAATATCAAGAAATATTAAACTATAAACAAATAGATCAGTTTATCTACAAAGCTTTGTCTTAACATCCATATATTTTGAACTCCCTAATAATTAACATAGATTTTAGGACTGATTAATACTTTCTGGATAAACAATATTCAGTATACACTTTATACAGCATGCCATTCTAATACATGTGACAATCTCCATCCCCTCAGAGGATAGATAGAAAATAGAAACACTATGTTTCATTTAATAACAATGGTTATCCAGTTATATTTTATGCTTTCCATAGTGTATACTGAATACATGAAGTCTCAATGGAACATGATTTGATCATGGCTCACTCCTATGAAGATACCATACGTTTTTTGCACTGCTGTCTTCTATCTCTTACAGTGTGCCTTGCATTTCTCATAAATCAACTTGATGCTATGTAGGAAGAAATCCATGTATACACAAAGCAGCACACGTTATACATATTAATACATTTTAAAATGTGGAAACAATATTAAAGATTTCTAGTCTGATCTTTATGTACATGTAATTTTGATTTTAATGCTGGTCCCTTGGATCATAAGAGCCAGTTCTGAAATAAAGCTACTGTATTTATTGCCTAAATTATTTCAGTGTATGTACTTAAATGGGCGTGAGGATCTTACAGCTAAGTTTTGGCCTGTAAATATTTAAATAAATATTCTGCAATGGGATCATAAATCTACAAAGATGGGAAATCTCTTCCAGATGTTGACATATCTAGAAATTGCAATTCTAGAAGTATAATAAAATAAGTTTTTTTCTCTCTTAGATATTACTATATTCTGGGGGATGTGTTAAATATTATGTCCCTGACAAAAAGCATGTCATGTGCTTATAGGCTTATTGATTCTATCCATTCTGATAGCAGGTGCCCATGTTCCTGGGCACCCCTTCACAGCAGTATTTCACCAGAAGTGAAGGTGGCTACTGGTGGGCTGAAAATCAGCCACCTCCATGTTCTCCCAATACGGACCATTCTGAATCATACTGAGAGGATGATTGTGAAATTTATTAAATGACAACAATTCTGCAATGTATGAAAATATTTAGGAGTGGGAGAAATAAACCTTTCCCCATCAGAATCCTAAGGGTTTAATCAGTAAACCAAAGCACTGTGTCAACTCACACCTTTTCCTAAGAGTCAATCTACTTGCACACAAAAGCACAAAAGTAGAGAAGAATGTCCTAGATTAGAAGAAATGGACCTAGGCCTTTTCTGCCCAACTAACAATGCAGTGTAGCTACATTCCTGATTTACATTTTACATGCATTAATAAACCAATGGTGCATTTTAAAAACAATCTTTAGAAAAGATTAAATGGCATGCGATTGATATATCGTAGTCAAACTTAACCTTCATGTTTATTGTGTATTACATGGAAACTGATGCAATTATGACTCCAAGGTCAGACATTCTATACTCCTTTGAAGTAAAGTATTTGCCAGCAAAATTGATTTAATAGTTGCAAATAGTATCTTTGGAACCAGAAGAAAAGACATTCTCTCCTGAAATTAAAATTATTTAGAACATGTAAGAAGACTAAGATAATATGTCAGGAATCTGAGTTTAGACTTGCAAGTCTTTAGAATATTTTGCTTTTCTTTACATAAAATAGCCTCTTTCGCAGCCTACTTAACCAGGCTTTGATATATTCAACTGCCCTTTTTTAAAAGGACATAATTTGTTCAACTGCAACACAGAGCTTCTTTAACCTGTGATGACTGAAGTCTACAATCATAGAATAAACAAACCTAAAGCACAGAAAATAGCAGAAAGCAGAAATTTGCAAGAAAGAAACTGAAACACTGTTCCTTAACCTTCCCTAATGACACTTTTAAAAATTCAGATGGTGCATTTGGATACAAAACAAGAGGAATGCCTAAAATGATGAAACTGGGTTTTTTAGAGAGCTAAGATTTCAAACATCAAAAATATTACCAATCCATAACCATCAGCTTCGTTATTTACGCATTGTTATCGGCACTGAAGACAGATTTGGAGTGTTAACTACAATGAGACGATAGATGGCACTCTATCTCTTAGTAAATGGGCAAAATAAATAAAAATCACCAAAAGCCTCAGAAGTGACAAATATTATGTTCTGTTGATCCGAACAAGCATTCACAACAATTAATTAGGGACATTTTGCTTCTGCATGAGAAATTAACCACACGTTTTATATAACCCTTTGACAAACATGCATAATAAGTGGGATTAAAAGATTATCTACATGGTATATGTTTGTACAATATACAAAATTTCTTCTGTTTATGCAGATTTTATATATACTTCACATTTTGGTTTATTAAGAGACATTACAAATGGGTTAAACCAAACTTAAGAAGACAAGTGTGGAATAAACTATTCTAGTGTTTGTAAATGCATGTGTAAAGACAAACAAGAATGTTTATTTTCAGACACATTCCTGAGTGACTATTATTCAGTTCCTTTGGCTTTGTTACATTTGTTACTATTTTCAATTGAGGGATTTTCATTTTTTTCTTATGTTCTTATACTTGTTCTTATACTTATATTCCTATACTAGAAATAGTATTTACTAGAAATAGTAGTTACTATATTAAACGATTTATGTAAGAGGCTTTAAAATGAATTACTGCATATAGAACAAATCTTCTAATACTGAATTAAATATAGCCAAACTTACCATCATCAAATTCAAAACATAAAATCTATGTGAAGTATTATATCAGACTGCAATTGTAAGTGGACATACATGTTACGTATGTGTATATGTATTTTATGCATATACTGCAGAACATAAGACAGTAGGAATAATTAAAAAGTATGATAATTAATCTAAAATTAGTGAACAGTTAGTTTTTGTAAAGTAACTGTTATGAAACAACTTTCAAGAGTTATTCAAATATTTGCAGTTTCTTGCAACTTTACTAGAACTGCTGTTCTAGAAATTCATCCATAGCGACATGCAGGACTAAACATAAAGTATTTTGAAATATTTAATATTAATTTCTTTAAGTATGATTCTTATACCATATGGCAACATCCTCCCATGTTATCTATCATTACTGGAAAAATAGTGAAAATAAAATGGAAAATTTCAATGATGTAATCCAGAAAATTGAATCAATTATTTCTGTGAAGAACATGGGAATGTTGTATCTTTCTAAAATGTGAATAGTGACATACTTTAAAAACACACTAATTTCATTTCCTTCAATGAAAAAAGGAATCTGAGAAAACTTGGATCACAATATGTATTTATAGCTATATGGATTATAGATCAAAATGTAGACTTTTTATTTCTAGTTTTGGTGCCCCACGTTAGCAGACTTCAGTAATTTTCCTTGGAAAATGTGAAATTAGAAAATTTCAGTGCTTCCATGAGATATATATTTTTATTATTCTATTATGTGCAGCTGATGAAGCTATAGGTATAGCAAAGTGACAAAATGTCATCATGAATGATTTCAGTTTCATAAACAGTTTTCCAAGAAATGTTGGGGGAAAGCTTGGTATATCCTTGGATCCTTCAGTTCAAATCCTCTTCAGACATTTATTATCTTCCTTCACAAGATCCTTGTCTATATTTTATGGTCAGTAGTTCACAGAAGAGTAAATAGTCAGGGTGCAAAAGAAAAAAAAGGTGTTTCTACTTACTGTTAGGTGATACTGCCTCCATATTTCTGGGCAAGCCTGGAAAATAAAAATATTGATCAGCTGGGAGCATGAAACAAGGTGCTTTACAGCCTGTTGGTTTTGGCATAACACAGTATCCACCGGTGTCGGTCACAGGAAAATAAGAAGCTTAACTGAAAGGGTCTGCATTTCAGCTTCAAAAACCTGGCTAGACAGTTTAATTGAATTTTACACTGGTTTAACACACTCCCTGCCATTGTCAGAAAGCCAGTAACAGTTTTCCCCCCTTCCCTTTCTTTTGGTAAAGTTTAAAACTTTGAAACCAAGTTTGCAAGGATTGTAGAATCTAAATAAATACCAGATATCTTACCAGGGCTTTCTCAATATTTAAGACTGGGGCAATGTACTGCTTTGGAAGTTAATTTGCAACCTTCTTTTAGAGTGGTAAAACAACTTTTTAAAATTCTTAACACATTTAAAATCTGAATCAAAATATAATTATTGCATGTACAGACTAACATGAAGCATAACAGACTGCTTTGATGCTTCTTTTTTTGAAAAAGCTTCATTATTCTACTTTAGTCTAAGACTGTGCTGTTCCTAACCAAAGAATTATACTGTAGTATAAAACAAAATGCAAATTTGAATTCGTAACTATCTTAAGTACAATTTGAAGAAAGCATGCAAAATACACTTAGCAGTATTTGGTTTTTTTTGGTATAATTTTATTTTTGTAACACATGTGAACTCTTCCAACATTTCTATTTTATGTCACAGAAGTGCATTAATTTAGCTGTCTCCAGCTACAGTATTTTAATATCAATTTAAAACGAAGACAATTTTCCAAATGTCTGAACACCAACCTATTAAGAGTGCACTTCAATTTGCTCTCATTTCCATGTGATCCCAACTACGGTATCTGTAATTTAGACACAGTAGTAGCTATATGTCCTGGGTTTGGGCTAGATTTTTTTTAAAATAAAATTATTTAAAAGCAGTAATATGTGCGTTTTCTAACCCAAATATAAAAATTTACTTTTCAGACTTCACTATATTATAAGTGGGATTATCTGTTACCATTTCTGACAGAAGGCTCTGGTGATTTCCCGCAATTTTATATTGTTACTGATCTCTCCATATATACATTCAAGCAAATGTTTTGTCACTCTCATTCTCTGTATATACATATGTCTACACTCACCCAGGTCAGTGTGTGTGTGTGTGTGTGTGTGTGTGTGTGCGCACACACACACACACACACACACATTTTCCAGGACCCCTTTATTGACCATGACAACAATATCCCAAAACACAGAAAAAGAAAGGAATTTGTTTCTTTTACTGTAAGGACCATTAATGTAGCCTTTATGAAGATTCGTGTTTATCTGTTTTGCTGTATGGAACATTTCTGATGGTTTACAACTTGGATGACTAAGTAATTATTTGTTATGTACACTTCTAGACAGCTAATGATCCCAATCTTCCTAGAGTGACATGTTTGACAAAGTACTGCCAATGAGCTGTCTTAAGACAGAATGATCATGTCCCCAACAGATTGATATAAACTTGAACTTCCTTGTTTTTACTGAAATGTTCATGAGAAAGGGCTATGCCTCAATATCTCCTATTTGAATGCTCATTTTCAACCTGTGGGCAAAAATATACAAAAGGCAAGACTTGCCTGGTACATATTTTTAATTCAATTAATAACTCTGTGTTAATACAATTTCTTTGCAATAATGCTCACTAATAGCATATACTTGTAAAGGTGTAAGTCCCACTGAATTGAATGAGGTTTGTCCTGAACGCATACATACAGAACTGCAATGTGAAATTCTAAGTATATTCAATGCAGTATACTTCTGAACATATATATTTTGGACTGAGATTTCAGGAAACTTAGAAAGATGCGCACACATGCACGCACAGGTCTAAAAGCTGCTTGGATACAGAAGAGAATCTATAAAAATAGCCTTAAAATGTGCAATTGCTAAATGATATCTTGCATCAACTTTATAGCTAGGTGTTTTCTTTTAAAAATCCTTCTCTTATCACTTATGACAAAAAGCCTAATTAACAATTTCTACAGAATACTGATTGCTCAAATGAAGCAAAATGGCTTGTTATGGAAGACAGCATCACCAAATTCAACCACAATTGAGCATGTGATTCCCCTTATTTATAAATATTTAAACATGAATTGCCCTCATTTAAAAAAATACCCACAAACCTCTGGTGGAATACAACTACATTAAAATAACACTGAATTTATTTCCTGGCCCACTGATCTGACCATACCAACTGTGAGTTCTATGAACATGAAATGCCTACTTGTCAAAGCTGCTACTCCACCTTTTACAACAAATAACACTTCTAAATCTCTCTAGTCTGGCCAGCATACTTTTCTCAAGTTCTGCACAACTGGGTCCCCCCCCCCGCCCATATTTATCCTATCAGTAACTTGGACTGATGAGCATTCATAAAAATAAAAAACAAATCAACCCACTTTGCCACACCAGAT